AGATGGCAACATTTATTGTATTAATCAAAGGCTCTCTTAAACAATCCTGTTTTTAATAATTTTCCTGAAGCCTAACAAGATGCTGATGAGATTTCAGAGGCAGGGAGTTCAATAAATTAGCACCACCACAGAGAAACAACATAACATCTGTAGTAACTCTGCGATACTTTGGAACATATCCTTGGGTGTTACTTACTGATGGTTTGATCTACACTAGGCTAGTTCTATTGTGCAACTACAGCCAAGAAATTCCAACTTGCCCTTTAGTCCCAGTTGTGTCTGTAAAGAGTCACCACTGGGTTGTGATCGCCTGTAGCAAAGGAAATTCTCAGTTACAGGCTGAAAAGTAAAGAAAAACATTACCCCCTCTTCTTTCCTCACAGGTGTAAAAGGCCGTGTTTTGAATAAAAAGAAAGAACCCATTGCAAATGTGATAGTGGAAGTTCAAGGAAGAAGGCATATATGTCCTTATAAAACCAATAAGAATGGAGAATATTATCTTCTCCTCCTGCCAGGGGTCTACATTCTTAATGTAAGTACAGGTAGTCCTTGAGTTACAACACCAATTGGGACCAAAATTTCTGTTGCTAAGTGATGCGGTCATAAAGCATGATGTTACATGACAATCCCTGCAGTTCCCATTGCTGTCTAAGCAAGGATTGTGGGTCATTAAGTGAGCTCCTCCTCACAACTTCCTGCTGGCTTTCAACAACCAAAGTCAGTGGGAAGCTGGCAGGAAGTTGGAAGTCCCAGGTGGCTTGCAAGCAGGCCAGCAAGCAGTAAGTGGCTGCTGCTGGGTGGGGAGGGAACAAGCGTGTGTGTGGATGGCTGGGGAGGTGTGGTGCGAGCATGATGGGGCTTCTGGTGGCTGCTGCCAGGTTGGGGAGGGGGTGTGAGGGTGCACGAGTGGGTAGGGAGGGTGTACAAGGGTATGTGGGTGTCTGGGGAGGCACAGTGCAAGCACAGCAAGGCTCAGGAAGGGTGCACGGGTGTGTGTGGGTGATGGGGAAGTGCAGCATGAACACAGTGGGCCTTTGGATAGCTGCTGCCTAGTGGGAGACGGTGTGCGAGTGGCCAGGGAGGGTGCGCGAGTGACCAAGGAGGGTGCACGAGTGGCCAGGGAGGCACTATGCAAGCACAGTAAAGGTTGGGGAGGATGCACGAGGGTGCACAGGTGGCAGGGGAGCAGGACGCAAGTGTAGCAGGGCTTGGGGTGGTTGCTGCCAGGTGGGAGAGAGTGAGCGAGGGTGCCTGAGTGGCTGGGGAAGGTCCCTGGATGGCTGGGAAGGTGTGGTACAAGCTCAGCAAGGCTTGGGAAGTGTGCGTGAGGGTGTGCAAGTGGCCAGGGAGAATGTGTGGGTGGCCAGCCAGGTGCAGAGTGAGTGCAAAAGGGCTGGGGCAGGGTGCGCAGGTGAGGGAGATTTACCTGAGCAACTTGTGACCTTCCCTTCCGGCTTCCCCATTGACTTTGCCAGCAGGGAAGGTTATAAATCACGATCATGTAACTGTGGGATGCTGCAACTGTCATAAGTGCGAGCCAGTTGCCAAGCACCCAGATCGCGATCATGTGACCGCAGGGGTGCTGGGACAGCCAGAACTTTGAGGACAGGTTGTAACCACCACTTGTTCAGTGCCATCATAACTTTGAACAGTCACTGAATGAATGGTCACTAATCAAGGAATACCTGTACTCTTATCCAGCTTTGTGAACTATTGTTATTACAGATGGCCAAGTTATAGAAAATACTTTTGTGTACACATGCACAAATGCTTGACTAGTTTTTCCTTCTGGTCCCAGTCCCTTGAAATGTATTAGTTAATCTGAGGGATTTGGAGTAATTTGTGTTTCAGATTTATGACAGGGTATGAAATGAGCATTCTGCACATGGAGCAAAGATTCACATTAATATTATTGGACTTCTTATATTCAAGTTCCACTCTGAAAATAAAAGTAGTAAATGTCTTCATACTGACAGACTGAAAATTGTTTTTCAGGCAACTCTTCCTGGATTTATGTCATTACAACAGGAAGTGGTTTTGCCAAATGGTGTAGAAAAATTCAGCGCCTATGAATATGACTTCATTTTCTCCCAGGAGCCGACCAGTACAAAGCCTATTTCATGCCCATTGAAACCACTTTATTCAAACAGTGATAGTAAATTTACCATTACAGTGCTTAGTATTAACTTTCTAATTTTTGTATACGTAGTCAGATGAAACCTTGTATTTCTATGTTTGCTGTTTGACAACAGGTGTATGTACTTGACTATAGAAGACTTTATACTGTACTGAGATAATATTCTGTGATAATAAAGCCTTTGAATGTAACACTGCATTCTGTTTTAACCTTTGGGGGTAGAGAAATAATTGTGCACTCAGGTCAAAGTGGTAAAATTATTAATTTACTGTTAATTTAATGAAACATCCCCTTTGCCCTTCACTTAAAATAGCATTACTGGCACAACTGGCTTTTAGGGGTAAAAGCGAGAAGACAGAGGAGACCAATGGCATGTTCTACCTGGTCAGTTTTTTCTCAAGGAAAGCAAATGAATGTAACCACTGCTTGAAGAAATTTCACTTTTTCCACTCCTCCAGGGCATCTGTATACACACAGAACCTACTTTTACCAAGCTGAGCCAATGAGATTATTTTATTAATACACTACCTATTAAGCATCTATAACAATGCTATTGGATTTGGTGCTGTATAATAAAGCACAATCCATTGCTTTTATACTTTTCATCGTCTTTCCTTGAGTCACATTTTAGAACTCTGAAGTCAAGAGAACTCTAAATTAAGGAAATGATGAGCTGTTTTTACATTCCAGGTAGAGAAAAAAAGGGCAGTATCGATGCAGGCAGTTTGGGCCCTGCATTTGTGCAAATGGGGAAACACAATTTCTTTTTATGTTTATATATATTTTATGTGTGTGCATGCGTGTATGTGTGTATATGTATATGTATATGTATGCATGCATGTATGTATGTATGTATGTATGTATATGTATGCCTGCTCACAGTCACACTAGACTGGATTACTGCAATTACTGGGGCTGCCCTTGAAGAATATTTAGAAGCTTCAGCTGGTGCAGAATGTGGCAGCCCAGGCAGTTAATGGCTCCAGTTATTCTGCACGCGTGACACCACTGCTCCGTGAGCTGCATTGGCTATCAGTTTGCTTCTGGGTGCAATTCAAGGTGATGGTAGTCACCTTTAAAGCCCTTCATGGCTTAGGATCAGGTTACCTCCAGGACCGTTTTTTCCTGCTTGTTTCTACCCGTCCTACCCATTCCAGCAGGAGGGGTATGCTCCAGGTCCTGTCGGCTCTCAGTTGGCAGGGCTCAGGAGGAGAGTCTTTTCTGCTGTGGCACCCAACCTCTGGAACATCATCCCTCCTGGGGTCATATTGACCCCAACCTTGCTGGCCTTCCGTAAGACCTTGAAAATTGGTTTTGCGCCTGAGCCTGGGCCCTGGGTGTGTGTCAGAGCCCATCTCCTGGCTGTGTTAATGGTTGTTTTATGATTCTGGCTATGGGTTTTATATTTTATATTTTTATTTAGTTTTTATCTATCTCTATTGTAAGCCACCCTGAGTCACATGTGAGATGGGCAGCAATGTAACTCAATTATATAAATAAATAAATAAATTTTTTTGGTGCCTTTCCTTTGAGCCAGTGTTGACTCCTGGTGACTGCCTGGATAAGTCCGTGCAGTTTTCTTGGCAAGATTTCAGAAGTGGTTTGCCATTGCCTGCTTCCTAAGGCTGAGAATGACTGGTCCAAGGTCACCCAGGTGGCTTTGTGCCTAAGGCAGGACTAGAACTCAAGTCTCCGGGTTTCTAGCCTGATGCCTTAACCACTACACCAAACTGGCTCCACAAACTGGCTCTTATTTGATATAAAATCCACCTAGTTCAATGAAATCTTCCATCTATCTATCTACTGCTTCCCTACAAGTTACTGGGAAGATAGAGAGAACCTGAACCCAAAATCTTTATTTGATGAAGGAAATTGCTTTCACAAACTGCTCTTCAGTGCCATTGGCTGTAAATAAACTTTCCAAATGTACCCACAGGATGTCAGCTATGGATAAACACAGTACCAGGGCTTTGTGAAAATAAATATATTTAATATTCAGTTAGCAAAACGGGCTCACTATGAAGAAATATGGGAGTCTATTAGATGTTTTTAAACCTTCTCTATGAAAAGCAGCAGCCCTGTTTTGGTTCAAAGGCACTTCAGGTCCAAGCAGATCAATGGACAAGCTTTCTGATGGACTGATGCCAAAGGCAGCAATTCAGTCCTGATTCCTGATAAGTACTGGTCTGTGATGCTCAAGAACAGACTACGGTATCCTGTTGTATTGGACAAGTAATATCCTTTCACAGACAATCAGAAAATCCTATCTGCATGGAAAATTTGCATGACCAGTATTTGTTATAGCTGGTGGATGATTCATTTGTATCTCTATTTTCAGAGGGAGAAAGGGAAGAAGTGATACTGTTAATTCCTGGTCTCCATTTGCAGACATCTTTATATTACATTGGGCCTTCACTTATTTGTTATAGCCTGCTTTTCCTCTAGGAGCTCAAGGCAATGTACATGACACTCCTTCCACTCCCAACAACCTTGTAAAGTAAGTCAAGCTGAGAATGTGATTAGCCGAAAGTCACCCAATGAACTGCAGTGATTCTGAGTGGACTTCAACTCAATCCTAGTCCAACAACCTAACCATACCCTCCAAAAGTATAATCCTGCCAAATAGCCCAAGAAATACAACATATTAACAGAGGCTCTTCTTTGCCAGATCCCATTTTAGAAAACTATCATGGTTGTTAAATAAATTGATCACCACCTACAATCTTTAGGTTGCAGGAGCCAACCCTAAACATTGCTGCCCCTCCCTACTACCAAAGGAAAACTGGAAACCAATAACCTATTGCTACTGTCAACTGAGGAAGTATAAAAGGAGAATAAAATACAAATGGTTCAATGGTCTGATTAAAATATGGAAGGTAAGCAAAGGCAAAGATGGACTGCCTGTTGGTAAAATTTATTGGTAAATGATAATTTGCAATTCATATATGGTACAATATTATTTGCTCACTGTGAATGTATTACTGTAATGGACAAGTGCTTAGAATGCTAAATCTTATTTCAGTGGCTTTTAGAATTACAGTTCGTTTAAAAACCCTTTTAACAAAATTCTTTCCCATAGTATTTGATCACAGCACAAATTTAAGTAGACCTTTATAATTTCACCACCAGATATGGTAACCATGGCCTAAAGAACACAATTTGAGTAGGCCTCCAAAACTTCACTATGTTCACTCTGATAAAGGTGTAGAGATTCCATGCTGGGGATCTTCAGACATTAGGAACAGGTCGTAAACTAGTCCTTGCCCAGGCCCAAAACAATTGTCTGCTTCTTGTTTGAATCAGGGTTAAGGGATCTGTCAGCACTAGTTTTTAACACTAATCAAGTTTCTTCACATCAGCTTTAAGCTCATTTTTGAGACAATCTTTGCTTATTAGCCAATAACTAGTGAGGTACAATGAAAATATTATAGACAAAAGGAAACCTGGAAAATACTTAGGACTGCTTAATCATTGTTAAGCAACTCCCATTATATCAGGAGTGTCTGAAAGGGGTAACTTGAAGCTCTACATCACACATAGTTTTTCCTATAACATTTTGGATCAGCATAGATAAGTAAATCAGCAGTTTTCAGTTTTAGAATATATACTCTTTTTCTGTGGTCCCTAGGATATTTAAAAGAATAAATTCTAAATATCACTCTTTGCACATCATTATGTATACACATGCTTACTGTTTGGGTAAAATTCAAAAAAAAATTAGACAATGTTATGATCACACTATCAATTGTAGTGCAATGTTTAAAAGTTTCGATCTTTTGGAAGATAAACATGTTTACGTAAACATTCAAACTGCATTCTGTGTAATTCTACATATAGGAACAGTTCTGTTTGTACTGCAGCTAGCAAAAATAAGTTAGCAATATCACCTCAATTGGCTGCCTACAGACTGGACAAGGCTTGTTCCTTTTCTTCAATTTTTTTGCACATATGAAACATGACATTAGATGTCCTGTCCTTCCATGTACTATGCAACCATTTTTAGGTCGTGTTTGGCATATGACACAAGGCTCTACACTGGAAACAGGCTGTCCAGGTTCCAGTCTTTCTTCTTTGTCGTCAGTGTCTTCTTTCTCGGATTCTTTATAGTCTTCTTGGCTACTGCAATGCACACTGCTAGATGTAGATGGCTGGGAATATATACTTTCCTGAGATTCAGGGCTTTGTTCTGCATCTTCTTCTTCCTTATCCTCATTTATTTTTCCTTTCTTACAGTCAGGAACATCAAAGCCCTCCTCAGGATCTAATGGTGGGGTATTTAGAAGTTTGCTCTTCTCGAATATCTCAGTCTTTTTGTCAGGGAGCCAATCCTTCCGAAGAGTCCAGCATCTTGGGCAATGAGATGGAAGAGGCGGGTTCATTTCATTGCACTTTGAGCATTTCCAATAATCCTTTGAAGAATTAGACAGAAATAATTTATTTTAATGAAAAAGCTTTATCAAAATAAAAGATCAACTATGAAGTTCTTTATGCACATGGTGGGCTGTAAGAAGTTCCTAAAAGGGGCCATACTTCTAAGACAAACTTATAAACTACCCCTCTGATTACTGCAATCCTTACGATTTGGTGATATATCCAATTCTCATTTTGTTACATTAATGTAACCACACTGGTTCTGTTATTTTGGAAATGATTCTCATTCCACATTTAATGGTTTGGGGAAAGGGTCTGATATATATTCCTTCCTAAGGTGCACTCTTATTATCCTACATATGACAAAATAATTTTCAAAAGCTGCAATTTGTCTCACACCAAGAATTTACTTACAGCTAGTGAAATTTCAGGGTCTCCATCAAATGAATCCATATCACTGTCTTCAGTCTGATATATAGTTACTTGATATACCTGATGAAAATGTTTTTAAAATTATTTTTAACTGAAATTCACACAAAATACATTTTTATAACTCTAGATTAGTTAATTTGTGAGGTTTTAGTTCTCTTCCATCAATGACAATCAATTTTGCAAACAATTATTTTGCTATCTGAGAAGAAAATACAAGTATTTCCCCATCCTAAGTCAAATTACTCAATATTAATGTTAGCAGAATAATTTTAACAATCAGTAAAATCTTATTAGCAATTGTCCTTGGTGAACAAGAATGAGATAAGAAATATAACAGTTAACAGCCTTCTACTCTTTCAAAATATTTCCAAAATCGGCTGCCTACTGTACTAAACAATTATTTGTTTAAAAAAGTCATGGAGTCCTAGTTCAGAAAATTAAGACATTAACTAGGATATGAAAGACAAAATGTCTGGCTTCATACAATGTGCTAAACCACACCAAATAACTCACATCCTAACTTTGCATGAGTGAACCCAGCCTTTGTCTAAAGCTTTGGGGGAATAAGCAAACATGGATGTAAGATAGCTTCACAGGCACTACACAATCTTCTGTACGCTGTTTTTGCCACTATGTTATTTTTATATTTCCCAACTTCTTTTATTAATCTTCAAAGTTTCTAGGACTTGTCAATGCACAGCTCAATCAGACACCTTTGAAAAGGGGTCACGGACTAATGATATAACATTTTGCATTGAAAAGTCCTAGGCTTAACATCTGGATTCTATTTTCAAAATAGAATAATAGAATATACCTTTCAATGAGTAAATATTTTCTCCTAGTACCAAACTTTGGTTTATTACTTCATTTAGACTCCTTTTATATATCAAAAGGACCTACCTGAAGCTCTGATAACATTGAGGAACAAAGATAAGCAGAACCTCTGAAAGGTTCTGAATACTTTTTCACAGAAATGTACCTTTAGGTTTTGAGAAACTGGTAGCTGACTCGGTTGTGTCAACTTTTAAGTGTTTATATATGAAGTTACATTTCTCAAACAACATTCCACCTGATTTTGGTTTAAATATACATACTTCATCATCCTCATCTGTTAGCTCAAGCCCTTCTTCATTAGGACTATAATCTTCTGAGTAAATAGATTCAACTTCAAATTCTACACTGAATTGATCTGAAACCGAATCTTCATCTAACCAGTCTGAGTTTTCACTTAAACTGGCATGATCCTAGAGAGAGAGAGAGGGAGAGAATGTTTGTGATTCGAATAGTAATGAAATTTAAGAGCTGAGGTCCCTAAAATTATATGTATCTAATGCATATATGGGATGAAAAAAGAGCATCTGAAATAATGGAAACAAAACTGTGTCAATAGGGGACTAACTTCTAGTAAAATTCTAAGCAAGCAGTTAATTATATTTACTTTCCAATCAAAGTAGTTCCTACAGTGAAAAAATAAAATGTATATTGCTTGAATAGTAAGGGCATTGCTATGGGAAAGAAATATTTTTCTTTTTTTTAAAAAAGGCTACTTGCATAATTAAAACACTCATCTTTTTAAAGAAAGAACATTCTTGAACAGTTTCAAATGGCATGGATATGAACTGAACAGAATAAGAGAGAAATTGTGTTTAAGCAATAATGATTATACAGCATCAGCGGTCATACAGCATTAAAGAATTGTCCTACTCTGGTTCTATGTGGAACGTTTAGCATTTTAGCAGGTGTCACCTGCTGTACTTCACAAAACTCTAAAGAAATTGTTTTGCCAGCATTATAATAATATTTTCCTGTGTTAGTTTGCAGCTTGTACAACTTCTGATATTATGAATATTGCTGATTTACTATTGCATTATACAGATACTTTGTCAAACCATATTTTGTGGAAAATATAAAGCCAGAAATTCGATTACCCACCCTGCAAATTCATAATCATATTTTTAATAAAAGCTTCCTCTATTTTACAATATCTAATTTAACAGACCACCATCTTATTTAAGCAGAATATACAGCCATTATTTCACAAAATCTGTAATGTGATAGCATTTACAGAGAAAGGCTCTAGATGTATTAACATAAAAGTAGCTAAGAATATATTGCAATTAAAATTGGTCAAGCCCCTAAGAGAGAGTGCACAAATGGAAGCTGGAACAACGACGACCTAAGTTTCAATATATATATAATGGCTAGAGGTGGAGAAAACACAAAATCCTGAAATGTGCAACCCAGGCTGTTCACAAAAAGCTTCTCAGTAGTAATTCCGTCCTACAAATTATGTAAATTCATCCACAAAAAGAGAGTTCAAACTATGAAAACTACTAGTCACATCAAAATGACTGTCTTTTTGGAGTTGTATTCCTATGCAACAAAATTAGGGTTTGAATGTAAAAACATAATAAATATCAAAGGGGAAAATTTTCCTCTAATATCCAGTACATGAGAGCTAATTGTTTCAAGTACTTGCCTAAGACACCTTTCAGCTGCTCACTGCACGAAAAAAATTGCCCAGTGATTTATTGCCTTCAGAATACAGATGGTTAATTTAATACTCTCCTATTTTTGATGGAGAGGCCCTACAGATAACTAATTAGCATGTTACTGAGAAGCCATGGTTAGTTTTCTTCTTTTTGACATGTCAGGTTAGTGCCTACATGGTAGTATTTTCTCATACTATCTCTTACTTGCAGTGATACAGATTTAACGTAGAAAGCTTCTTGTTTAGAAATTCAGACTTGTATCTACTTACTGGACTTGGTGGAGAATCTATTGAACTGCTGCTGTTGCTTCGTTCACAATGTACTAAACACCATTTAAGACTTTCATCAAACGTAAGGGAAATACTGTCTGATTTGTGCCTTTTTCTTTGTCTTTCATAATTCATATCTTCTGAAACACTGTCTTCTGTTGGAAAAAATATCTCTTAAGCAAATTTCCAAATTTGTATAAGTAATCTCTGATTTTGTGTTAGAAAAGAGTTGAATGAAGAAACTCTGTTTGTTATGCAATTCCCAAACTTCACCCACAAAGTGTGGGTGATTGCTATGTCTTATTTCTATCACTAGGAGTACTGAATCTTCTTTCCATGGTCTGAAAGAAAATCACCAGGTACTACCTAAAATGTTAGCATAAAGTGTTAACAGCTCACTAAGGCATCTATTGACATCCCAATGTAAAAAAAATGTTACATATTTTCAGTGCAATTCCCAAATCATAATGGGAAATTGTTCATAGGACTGCTATCTTAAAAAGAAGCACTCCTAAATATTTTTATAATTAGATACTATTTTACAAAGATTTAAAAAAATTATCAAGCTTCCATTTGACAGTAGTCATGGTATAGCAGCGACTTTATAAAAGTTGTACTCTATCTCACTAAGTTTTTAACTAGATTTAAATTAAAATGCTTCTGTATTTTAGTGGTTTGCTTTTCATTAAAACAATTGGAACAGAATGAAGTAATCTGAACTATAGATATTAGAATGAATGATATCCTGGATACAGTAGAATAAGCAAAGCTGTCTGCATCCCACTTAACTATATCTCTTTAACATGCTGTATGAGACATGTTAGATTTATGTACCTGTTTCACTGTATGTTCTTCGGGAAGTAGTCGCTTCATTTGCTTCTTGTATTGTTTCCTGTTTAATAAAATATTAAGTAACTATTCCAGATTTACAACTGAAAGAGCAGAGATGAATATACCATGTAATATAAATTACCTTTAGAACGTTTCCATTTTCTACCTGGCACCTGGACTGATTCACAGCTGTGTTAACATTATTAGAGTCTTCAAAAGAAATACATATTGAAAGTCACCAAAGAGGGACGGCAGGCAGCTCAGATATACATTTAAAAAAGTAAACTAGTTAATAATTTGCAGTTGTATAAATATGAATTCCTTAAAATTCAGGAATATTGGGCACTGCAGTTAGAATAGCATTAAACAAACTTTCATATAAATTACATTTCAGGGCCTAATCTCTTTTCAAAAATTTAAGCATGCAATATCAGTGGATTTCTTATTTGCACTTTCAGAAAGAGCAAAGTAAATCTTATTGCTCAATTTAACTTTAAAAATTCTCAAAAGCCCTCTATCCATCAATTATAAGTGCAAGCTTATTAAAGCAATTAACTTACCTTGCTGGCTGGCTGTTACCAGGTGTTTGGAAATCATCGAATATAATTGCCTTTTAAAAGATAAAGCAAGATCTTAGCTTTAGATATAAAGAACAGTAAACAAAACAACGATGAAAAATGTTTGGATGTACTGAATTCAGGAGCTTCTGGGGAAGAAATGGTGAACTGAAAATGGCTCTGCTAAAAGCAAGTAGACTGGCTCTTCATAATTCCTCTCCAGACAAGGAAAGGATTGAGATTGCCCACAAGTGCTCCATATAGTTGCTCCTTAAGAGGAGACTGCGAGACAGTCGGCGCCTTTAAGGATCCTGGGTTTGCATACTTCATTTTCTAATTCCTTTGGAAATTGCTTATTAACTGCTTTTCAGCTATTAGGAACTTTTGGATCGACAAGTCTTACAGTACTGGGTGAGTTTCCTTCAATCCTTAGGAAAAGAAGTTTTAAATACAGGTTTAAGGACTTAATTTTTTTCATGGAATAAACAGCAAAAGGATGATTAAAACTTTGATTTTAGAAAGTTACAAATGGACTAA